TAGAATACAACATGCTATATACGATATGCCACATAAAAATATACATGCATATATTTTTATATTTTATATATAATAAATGTATACTCGTCGTATTATATGCATATATTGGTACATGTAAGCATGCGTGTCTATAATATATATATAATAAGTGCAGTATATGCATATTTAAATAATAAATATAGAAAATGGATGTTAAATTTAAATTTTTTTAATTGTCTTTATTGTTTTTGGAAGGGTGGCAGAGTGCATCAGCGGACGGCAGGGGGGGTGGGCTGTCGGGGCGCGGGGAGCCGGTGGCGCACCGGGAGCGCCAAGGCTGGCAATCCACGGAAGCACACTTTTGTTGGGAGCGGGAGAGACCGTATTTCAGCCACCTGAGGTTTATTAATAGCGCCGCGGCCGCGCCGGTGCGTGTGCGGCAGAGATACTCCTGTCCCAACACCCACCCCCTCCCCCCGCTCCAGCTCCAGCTCCAGCCACAGCCCCTCCGCCCCCTCCTCCCTGGGAAGGGGACGGGCGTCCCCACCGCTGGCTCCGCCTTGCTTCACCTCGGATGCCCTCGACTGCCTCCATCTTCCTCCCTCCCTCTTTTCCTCCCTCCTTTCCTCCCTCCCGCTCCCGCTGCGCCGCAGGCGGGACCGCCCCCGCCATGTCCTCCTCCCGCACCCTGCCCCGACGGGCGGGACCGGCGCTGCCCTGGCTCCCCCTGCCCGCCCGCTCGCTGGGGTCCCCCCGCTGATGTCCCCCCGCCCCCACCCTTTATCTTCTTCCGAGGGCCCCCGGACTTCTACGGGTTTGTGGCTTCCTTTGCTGCGTGCCGTGGGTTAATTTTTGGGAAAGGCGGTGTTTCTCTGCAGAGGCTCCCGAACAGGTTAGCTCGAGTGGAGTTAACCCGTCACTGAAGGGCCTTCAAACTGAGAGTATGCCACACTAACCTCCAACCCACTGTCAAAACTGAGATGTTACATTAACCCGTAATTTGAGACCTTGCCACATTAACACATGGCCAAAACTTTAGACGATGCCAAGAGGTGAGGCATCCCCTTACTGCTGTGGTAAAGCTGCAGCAGTCCTTTACCACAGCATCACCACCCCTCCTGTTCCACCATGCCTCCTGACATCGGTGTATATACAGTTACTGAAATTTAATTTTCTACAAAGCCCCCAAAGCCAAGATAGCAGGTTATTCTTCTCTAACTTAATCGTTTGAGATTTTCTGCACAGCAGTTCTTTACAAGAAGGTTTTAGGGAGGGTGAGAGGCAGGGAAACAACTGCTTGTGTTGTACATCCAGAAAATCACCTATTTTTTAAAAAAATGTTTTCCAATACAGTATTTTATTTAGGCATCCCATTTCCCTCCCCTTTTTTGGTGTTTTTCCTCAGAAATAAAAAAAAAAGGGGAAGGGGGGGTGGGAGGGGTGGTGGGTTTTGCCTGACTTTACATTAGACTTTCCTAACGTGGTAGCTGAATTTGAAGACATCTGTATTTTTCTCCCTGGATGATTCTCCTCAGGAAGTGAGGATCTTTTGAAATCAATCTCTCACCATTGTGTTGCTACTACTGCAAATCCTCCAGCAGTGGGAGTCCTGAAGCACTAGCATAAACTGCCTTTGGAGCTTTCCAAACTATATTACTGGGAAGACATGCTAGATGCTGTAAGACTACCGGCAACTAAATTTATAGTATGGTGGTAATTGCCACTGCTGGTGGCATTATGGTAATATGGAGTTAACTTGTGAGAGTTTTCCTTAGGAAGTTTGATTTTTCATCAGTAGAAATTCTTTCTAGGCAAAATAAATGTCTGGAAAGCAGCTTTGCAGTAAAAGGCTAGGGGTACTAGTAGTCACCAAGTTGAACATGAGGCAGCAGTTTTTCCTTTGCAGCAAAGAAAGTAAATGGTGCCCTGGGCTGCATCAGAAGGAGTGTTGCCAGCAGGTGGAGGTAGGTGATTCTGCCCCTTCCTTCACCATTGGTGATGCCATACACCTGTAGTGCTGGGTCCAGTTCTGGGCTCCCAAGCACAAGAGAGACATAGACATACTGCAGCAAGTCCAGTGAAGGGCCACAAAGGCGTTTAGAGGACTGGAGCATCTCTCCTGTGAGGAAAGGCTGAGAGAGTTGAGACTTCCCTCTTCAGCCTGGAGAAGAGAAGGCTCAGGGGGAATCTTACTAATATGTACAATACCTGAAAGGAAGGCACACAGACAGAACAATTATTGGTGGGCACAAACTGCAACACAAGTAGTTCTCTCCAAACATCAGGAAACAATTTTTCACTGTGAGGGTGACCCAACAATGACACTGATTGCCCAGGGAGGCTCTGGAGACTCCTTTCATTCCATAGCTGCCTGAACGTGGTCCTGAGTAACTGGCTGTAGGGGGGGGTTCGACTACATGACCTCCATTCCAGATGTCCTTTTCAAATTCAACCAGTCTGTGGTTCTGTGATCTGTTGACTGGATAGGTCCAGTCACTGCAGGTTCAGAGTCAGCATTTGGGAACGTGTGACAGAAAAAGTGAAGTAATTAAACATATTAACTTCCTTTCATAATTTTGGGTACTGTTGAGTAATATCCTCATATTGATTCTTCTGTGTTTACTGGTACTGGTGAAGGGGTCTTGTGGGTTCTACAGCCCATGCCCCTAGTGCTTTTTCAGCTTTTAGGGTTTACTTACTACACAGCCTTTGTACGTGTAGTACAATATGAATTATACTGTGCTTGAATATGCCTGTACTTGCATATTTGCACATTATCATAAATCACCTCTAATGGAAATAGAGAGACTAGAAAGATGTCTCTGGCCTTAAACCCATCCTCGTAGTTCCTTTTTTTTCCTAAAAGAAGATATCCCTGTTAAAGAAAGTTTTATCTTGGAAAAATACACCTAAATAATGTGATAGTAGGTCCTGTTTTGAAGTCTGTCTGTACCGGCACAAGCTTTGCTTAGTAACAATCAATTAAGAATGTTGACTTACTCATTAAGGTTATCCTAACTGTTACATTAACCCCAGAATATGAAAGATGTTATCATAACCCTAAACTGAAGAAAATACAGGATTGTTTGCTTATACTTCTGTGTAACAATCAGCCGCTGATTTTCACTGCCACTGCTTTTCTATGTTCCCATTTTAACATTAGCCTGTACTGGGTTTAGGTAAAATCTCTTCTGGTAAGCCTTGCACTGAAATCAGCTTAAGCTAAAGTCTGAGGCAAAGGAGCTTTAGCTAACTTGATTTTGGCTGTTTTGCAAGAGAGGCAGAGAAGGTTTTAGATACCCAAAGCACCATATGGGCACATAAACTCTACACAAATTCAAAATTAAAAAGACGTGCTGTGTAGCTGACTCCTAATGTTAGAAGAGCATAAACTCCTAACTTCTCTTAAATTTCCCTGAACTCCTCTTGGACAGTTAGGTCCAAGCACCAGATTTGTGAATTTGCCCAGATTTCAGCCCCTGCTAAGAACATCAAGGCAGCTGTAGCAAGCCTGTCAGGCCCACCATGCTGTCTGCAGCAGTAGCCTTGGGAAGAGTTTAAGACACTGCTTCAAATAAGCTTCAGAGCAACTCAGGGGCTTTGTCATATCTTAATATTTGGCTGCAGAACACCAAGGAACCCTGAGAGAGGAGCCTTGGATTTGGATCTCACCCTGTTCTACCCAAAAATCCTAAAGAAGAGGTTCATTCTCTCATTCAAAGTTAATGGTTTTGAAAAGAAGGGTAGATACCATCTTCTTCAGAACAGCCCAGCAGCCTGAGTGCTTGGTTTCAAGGTGAGACCTGTGGGTGTCAATCTCCTCAAAACATAAGAAACTCCAGTTGTCTCTAAGGACTGATATCCTGGAGATAGCCACATCTCAAAGCACACCAGGGCTGGGGTCCGGGCTGCAGACTGGGAGCTGGGGGAAGCCTTTAGACTTTAGACTGAGAGTCCTAATTTCCAGGGACGAGTGTGGCTAAAGGTAATCGTATATTCCTAGTATTTTCTTGGCTGCTCAAAATGTCCTGCCACTTTGTATGCTTGCTCTGAAGGCCTTTCCAAGGCTGCTGTTATAGGACAGACAAAGGCACTCTCTGCTTTGTCTTCCAAAATAGTCAATTGCCCTAGCGAGCTCCAGTGTGGGTAGTTAACACAGTCTAAATTAAAGTAAATCAGTACTGCTAGTATGAAAAGGATATTAGGTTGTGCTCACTGTGTTGACTTGCTTGCATAACATCTGGTTTGGAGCATGGGCAGTGCTGGAGCATGTTTGTGTAGCATAGCCTGAGTTATCAAGCCCTTGTCTGCCATCGAGTATGGAACCTCAAGTATCTGCCTCAGAACTCTGACCCTACCCAAATCCATGAAAAGCCCATTGTGGTATACATAGCATGAGATGTCTCGCTGCTGCCTAGTAATTGGCAGAGCAGACTCCTGTCAATGCAAAGGTTGAGGAGTGAGAAACTTGTCACTGTAGTTGACTTGCTGTTTGCACCAGACATATCTTTTTCTTTTTCTTTTCCTTCTTAGAGCCACCAAAAAAATTTCCACCTGGTCTTCTCATATACTAGTGGCTCTAACAGCGAAAGATCTCTGCCATCACAAATGTAAGCAGGCTGCACGTTCAAACGTGTTTTTTATGCATATGACTTTACTATGGTGGCTCGCTATGCATGTAGGCATTGTAGACTTGCCTTGTTCTGTATGCAGAGAAAAAAAATGTACAGAGAATGGAAGAAAGGTTAACTAAGGCATCAGTTAGTTGAATGTAATTATATGTTCAAGGACTTGGACAACCAGATGATCTAAAAGGTGGTTGATTTTCGAGGCAACAACAATGAAAGGACAAGATTCCGTTATGAATGTGTGTTCCTTCTTTTTTATGCAGCTATTTATATACCTGTGCAACTGTTTATATATATTTCACTTGTTTGAAACCTAGGAAGAACAGTAAATGTTACTCATAGCATTTAATTGAGTGCTACTTTTTTTTATATTTCAACTATCAACACTGAATCAGACAAATGGCACATCTTGCTGTGGGTTCAGAGTGTTGGACTTCAAGATTAACAATGTGCTGTACAGCATTTCAGGTAAATCTTATTGCTCAAATGAGTAGCCAGGCCTGGACTGGGTAGGTCTAGCTGACTGTAAGCCAATTTGTTTACTTTGAGATACGTGGAGAAAAAAATCTTTGAAGACTGAATCAGTAAAGACACCAAGCTAATGGTGGCCTTAGACTATACAAATAATGGTGCTGACATTCAAAATCAAATAGTTCAATTCTGTGTAACAGCTGCAGAGATTTAATTTTTAAGTGAAGCAACGTAACAAGACAGCTACAAGAGAGCTTTGTAGGACAAATCAGGCAGTACTTCTAGTACCATGTCTTTGTCTCTTTGAAAAAAGTTGGTATTGTCTCACTCATACTGTTCAAGGAGCAACCAACGCTGGTAGAAATACAAAACCAGTATAAAATATCCATTCTTATCCACTGAAGGAGTTGGGAAGAGAGTCTTAATTTTGTCTACCACCACAAAGCTCCCTTCACTCAGTGTGACTGAACCTGGAAAATTCTCCTTTTATGTTCCAGCTTTACTCTGGCTGAGAACCTCCACTCACAAATGGGTGTGAATCAGAAGTCCAGTTATATAAAGTGTGTTTCTGGGCAGGTCACACCAGGCAGAAACAGTAACACAAAATGAAAATATAAAATATTTTCTAATGACCTATAATGCAAACATGTATTTTGCCTGCTAATTTGGATTCAGCATCATAAAGTCCAAAGACATTTAAGAATGCATCCACTGGTTGCCAGAACAGAATTATAATAAAACTAGTGCTTGCTTGCTGCCACTATTGCACATGAAGTTCTTTATAAATATTAATACAAATTACCTATCTTGCAAGTTAAGTATTTGTCTGCATACTGCAAGTGGTACTTCATGGTGTGCAATAGTTGTGGTTTAGCTCCACCTCGTAGTTACCTGTGAGGAGCTTATTGCCCACAACGCTGAATCTGCCAAGAGCTGGTCAGATCCACAGTTTGTCCTGCTTAGAATTCAATGTACAATCAAATAATAAAGGCCAACTTCAGTAAACATTTGCCCTTATACAAAAAAAAATCAAATTACTATGCTGGCCCATTTAATACCCATAATGTCATATTTTGTGTGAGTGTGAATGGAAATTCCATTTACGTGTTGATGTTTACACCAGAAGATGTTTTGAGAATTTCAATATTCATTTCATTGAGCAAGTAGATATTTGCTATTCTATTTTTCCTAAAGCAGCAGTGGCTGATATTGCATGACACCAGAAGTTGTTTTAGTATTTCTGCAGAAATTAATATATCACGATGCTTCCTCCCAGGAGTCTCCCTGACTATGAAAGGCAGAAAAAGTGATTAGATGTGCACTTAGGTATATTTACATGTACATACAGTTTTGAGAAGCTGATTTTAATACCCATACAAGTAGTTTTCTTTCTATTTTACATATAAAGCATTTACTGACTTTCAATCTGCTGTACCAGAGAAGGTCCACTGAGAACAATACTGCTCAGCAGATGCCAATAAGGAAACAATCTGAGAGCTAATTTTATCTGCTTCTCAGGTTGCTGAAGGTACTAGTAGGAATTTCCCTAATTATCTTCTTACCCTCTTAGCTTATAAGATAAATGTGCTTTATGGAATAAGTATTGATATCAGAGTGAATACAGAAAGAGTTTGTTCCTTCCAACAGATGCAAATTGCATTTTATTTTGATCAGTTGTTAGAGATCCTGCGAGTGCACACAGGTGTCACTGAGAAGTTTGCAAAGAAGATCATCTAGGTTCTTCACTTTGTAATACTTACTCTGCTGAGACGCAAACCTTCGGCTTTTTGGGATTGCTATCCACTGTTCTCATAAAACTGACTTAAAAACTCCAGCTTTTAAATGTCATTGTAACCTTTTTCCCCAGTCAAACAGTTTCAAAATAATTGCCACAGTTCATACATAATATTACTTCATTGTGGAGTAGCCTGTCCTCCAAGAATGTAAAAGATATGGAAGCACTCTGATAAAGTATCATACCAGTTCAAGACAATACTTCTCTTCACATGAGTGGTGAACATTGGAATAATCATAAACACTACCTCCTTTATCTGGATTATGGTACTGGAGATCTTAATTACACATACAGCTTCTTCTGGCATGCAGGAATGCACACCCCAGAGCAGTGGTTAATGTCTTCCCTTTGGGAACAACTCATTCAAGAATTCTCCTAAAAACTGGCATCTACAACCCTGAGCAGATTTTCTGTAGTCACAATATCTGTTGATTACTTGATATCTTTCCATGAATTTTAGTTGTTTTTCCTATTAAGTACTCTGTATTGCTGTTGTTGTCACTGATGTACAGAATGATTTTTAGTTTTGCACAAACACAGTGCAACACTTAGAACAGACAGCATTTTTTGCAGTGTTGCACAACAATACGATTTATTTTTAGGTCATACAAACAATAAACATCGTTCTTGCGTTTGGTGATGTTGTTTTTCACAGACAGCATGTAATGAAAAATTCTCCCAGGATTAATGTAAAACAGGGTCTACTTCTCTAAATTAATCCTTTGAGGTGTTCAGTTAGTCACTACATAATGATTATTATCAATAAGAAAGATGAAACCTACACTTTTTGAAAGAGGTTAGATAGATACATAATGACCATAAAGCAATGCATTTTAAAAAAATATTTTGTTTCAGTGACTATTGCTAGTTGATCTGTCAAAATAACAATTAACGGAACCTTAGAAAATAATATGACAATTCAGTAACAGTTATCCTTTTCTTTCTTTTTGAAAATATAAGTACCTCAGAGTTCCAGCAGTCAGTGAACTTCAAGTGCTACTTGTCCTAGAGATGGTCTTTGAAAGTGAAGTAACCCTCCAGATGGGCTCCCTTATGTCCACGATGTTGTTCCTGGTAAGTGGGTGATTTATGGAATTATTGACAGAGTTGGTCTTCTGTTGTTTCAAACAGTCATTTTTTATTTTTTAACAAAATGCAATAAAGGAAAAAACTATGAGAAATCATGAGGAATCTGCCTAGTGGCTATTAGGACACGAGTATGGTCTGCCAACTAATATTTTACAGATGGTATAAAAAAATCCTGCAAGTAGCTGTTGTATGCCTGACCCAAACATATTTACAATTTGCATTTGGAAAATAAAGATCCCTACAGACTAGCATCTCCTGGATCTCTAAGAGGCAAACCAAATAAACAGATACTGAAGAGTGCATAACGTTACCTTGGCTGCCAAGAGAGTTAGCAGATGCTCATGATATTCATTCTGTTTTGTGCCCTCCTGAGGAATCTCCAAATATTTGAAAAGGCAGGCATGGGAATTATCATTTCATCCTTCGCTAAAAGGAACTATTTCCTCACAGAAATGAAGAAAAGTCAATTCTCAAACAGCATAAAAATGTAGGGCAAGGACTGAGGAATGCTTTTTATGCAGCTGCAGAAATATATCCAGTGTGATTATTTATACTGGAATTTGAACAGGAAATTTCAGCTTCCAATCTTTCATTTTGAGAAGTGCAATGGCAACTTTCTAGCTATCTCATATGGACATGAGTTTCTCTGCATTGACAGCTGAACAGAATTTCCTAACTCCATAATTTCTAATTCCCGCTGGTTTCATTCCGACCAATGTGGAACAACGCTACCTTTTGAATTATTGAAGTTAATTTTCATGACTATCTCCTTATTCTCTAGAATTCTTCTTTTCAGCTACTGGTCAGACCCATCATGACTCAGCTGATGAGATCTGGTCAAACAGGCATTGCTAGACAGTGCTTTTTATTAAAAATACCAATGTGTTTTTGATGTTCGTGTTGTTTTAACACTTCTCTTTTCTGATTTGTGCATAGGACTGGTTCTGCAGTACTGCTGGGCTTCCTTTGGTAATTTTAATTCCCAACTTTCTGATGCTCCCCTCCACCACTATATTTTCTGTGCCTACAACCTGGTGTGTGGACATCCATCCCGATTCATTCTACCAGCCACTCGTTTTTAAGCCAGCAAGCAACTGATGAGATTGTGAAACAAATACCATAACACTCCTTCATTCCTCCTGGAAAAGACTGGGGTGTTTGATAAGCATGAAACTTTATGTAGATAGCTACAACTATAAACTGCCTCTTGTTACTGTGAAACAAATAAATGTTGCAACTGTTTAAATGTGTTGCTCTTCTCTAGCAAACGATTTATACTTTTAAAAGAAAGTAAGACCTAATTAGTATTTTGTTTCATCCACACTTATAATTGGATGTTGGCTGATGAACACAAACCCTGTTCTGTATTACTGCTCACACAACAGGGCTGTAAATGCTAAACAATAGGCTTGATTAGATTATAAATAAGTGAGATAAAATGGTTGCGATCTGAGATCTAAGCCATCAAATATTTGGGCTGTTTCTATATTATTACTATGTTTGTAAAATGTATAAACTTCTCACATAACTATAGGTTTGTAGAGTTTGCTCTTAATATGTAACAGAATCCTTAAAAATCTCACATACTCCTAACCAATTTTTCTTTCAGTTGTGCAGGAAGTGCTGTGTTTGGCATACACATTGCAGAAATGCCAGAGATAATGCAGAGGAGAAGGGAAACTGAAATGTGTCTCTGAGCATGCATTGTAATGTACATCACATTCCTTTGGTATAATTGGACGGTTTGTAATTTCTTACTAGGATTTAAGATGTGCAAGTTGCAGTGAATAAAATTTTAGGTGGTTGCTAAACTATGGTCTGAGTTGACACTGAGATGGATGCTTTGTTTCCCCAAGCTCTCATATTTAGATGTTTTACTCTATGGTTCTGTGAGAGTAAAGCCTGTTGACCCCATTCTGATTTAATACAAAAATATGGATCACTTGGGACTGTTTAATCATTCACAGAGAAATCAAGACAAACCTTCCTCTGCCACTCGGTACCTCCAAGAGCTGTGGGTTTGTTGAGAGGTGGTAGTCTCACCCTTGTAATAGGTTGTTGCCCTTGGCAGTATCAGAGCAGATTAGTATTTGGATATGCTTACAGATCCCAGTGTGGGAGGCTAGATATTTGTTTCCTGTTAGCAGTATGAACATTAAAATAATAATAATAAATCCTAATTACTTACTAATAAACTGATCAACTTATTTCTTAGCATTCATATTCCAAGAGGAAGGAAAGTGTCCTCAGAAAATGAAAACGAGAGGGAGATAAGTAGTTTTTCTGAGAGAGCATTAGTTCATAACACAGAAAAAACCTAAATAGTAGATAAGAGGGCAGAATTACTGCTAGAGTTAAAGGATCTCAGCCAACTGCTTGTTAATACCTTATAACTCAGCACAGATGTCATGAGATAAAGAATAAGCCAAGCTATGGTTTTAAGGGGACTTGAAACCCAACTGAACGCCCTTATTAGCACTGAGTAGTATAGCATGGGTTCTGGTGCTACCAGACAGTATTTGTGCATTTCTCAGTCCTCCCTACCATTTAGATTGTGACTGATTTCCATCTTTGAAAGCTGTACCATTGCACAGACTTCACCATTGTGGCTGCATTGTTGCATTGGAAAATGCAGATTGATAAAGGATGTTCTTGTTTTGGAGCACCTGCTATAACCACATATATCTCTGTTAGGGAGAACAACAGCTCTGTTTTTCCTTTTTTCGTCCAACAGGCACTTGGTGTTGCTTTCTAGCACTGTGACATGACAGATGTATATACTTCTTACTTTTTCTCTATAATAACAGACTGCCAAAAGAAGAGATCTCATGCCTGGGAGCTCAGCCATGAGCATAGGAGAAATGGAGGACTATACCCTATCATCAGGAAAGCAAACTCTTTAAATAAAGTGCTATGGATGGAAAACTGGAAATGACACACATGAGTTAAGATGCTTGTAAAGAAGGTAGTCTTCCCATTCTCTTCTGTTGGATGAAAGGCAATTGAAATGTTTGGCCTCACCTTGTATTGGAAAGCAATGGACATTATTTAGTCTTAATATTTGCTTTTATTCTAATGCTTTGACACAACTCCTAATGTTGCTTTTTGGGCACCTACCACCTATTTCTCCTTTTTTCACTCTTCCTCCCCAGTCCACTCAATGCACGATAGTGCAATCAGACTTCAGAACAATTCAGTTAGTTCTCAGATTTCTTGACCAACTGCTGATTCAAGCCTCACAACTTCAAACACCCTTGCTGACTTTCAGCATTCTCTGTGATCCAACCTCTTATATTCCCTTCCATTTACTATGTGGTGCTATCATCCCCTCCATGCTTTCATAGATTCATAGAAATTTTAGGGATGGAAAAGACCTCTAAAACCATCAGACCTAACCCAGCACCATCATGTTCACTGCTAAACTGTATCTCCAAGTGACACGTCCACACATTTCCTAAATACCTCCAAGGATATACTCAATGACTTCCCTGGGCAGCCTACCCCAATGCCTCATCATGCTTTCAGTGAAGAAATTTTCCCTAATATCCAATATAAACCTTCCCTGGCACAATTTGAGGCCATTTCCTCCCATCCTGTCACTTTTTACCTGGGAGAAAAGACCAACCCCCACCTTGTTACAGTCTTCTTCCAGCTAAGTTGTAGAGATGGATAAGGTCCACGCTGAGCCTTCTTTTTTCCAGGCTGAACAACTCCAGCTCCCTTAGCTGCTTCTCATCAGGCTTGTGCTCCAAACTCTTCAGAAGCTCCATTGTCCTTCTCTGGACTTGCTTCAGCACCTCAATGTCTTTCTTTTAATGAGGGCCCTAGAATTGAAGACAGTCCTCACCAATGCTGAATACAGGGCAACTGTGCTTTGCATGAGCGTTGTTTAGCTACACACATATATTATCACCTCACAGTTTCTAGGCTTCCAAAGTGTTTCAGTTGCATTTCAGGGTGAGAGCCAAATATTCAACACTTTTGCCTGTGCCTTCAAAGTACAGCATTAGGATTTAAATAAACAACAGTAGAGTATGTAGCATACCCACTGTTTTGGAAAACATTGAAATTAAAAACAAGAATTAGAGAATCGAAGTGATGAAACACAAAGACTCACCAGATCCTCTCTGAGAGATATAAACTGCTTCCTGGTGAGTTTTAAATAGTGATATTTCTGGCTGAAAAATGGATGTGAATAAAAAGACCTTGTTGATCTTCTGTAGGCCAAAAATGTCTTTCCTGTTTGCAGCACTGCGAAAGCTATTCTAGCTACTGTGCAGGTTCATGGAAAGTGTGTGTGTGTTGCGTGTGCGTACATATATGAGGTAGGTTTGCTACAGTATGGTAAATGTTTTTCTCTAAATTTATCTTATATGAAAGCAACAGTTGTCTTTTGTGTTCACTGCAGTTTTTTTGTCAATATATAAAAATTTAGAAAAACCTCCTTGCATTTCACCACTGTCTGTAGAATTGGGGCAGCATATTAACTATGAGAAATAAAAGATACAGAAAAAAACCTTGTGAAATCACTCCTTTGAAGCCGAAATAAAAACATTGTTACGCCCAGAGATTAATTATGAATAATCGGATTCTAACTTCAATCTGTTCAGTTAAGGAGGGAAGCATGACTTGAGGAGGAATATTTTTCCATCTTAAAATGATCAAAGTATTTTTGCATATTTGCAGAAATTAGTGGAGACATGACAGTCAGAGAAGAGGGAAAAGAGTGCCAGTTTAAAATAAATAATGATGTCAGATGGAACATGGAACTAATATGCAAAAAAGGAACTGAACTTGTACTGGAGGTTGTGCAAAATCCTGCGTATTTTTGTAGAAAATAGTAAACTCTCAGTTTCTTTATAATCAGCTATCTAAGTCTGTAGAAAATTGTCTTCATCTTCCAGCACTGCAAACATAGAAATAGTACAATGTAAAAATAATACGTGTACAATAAAAAGTAACAATGGCCAAGGACTGTTTGCTCAATGAGAAAGCCAAGGCTTAAGCTATGCAGTTTGACTTTGTATATTTTAATTTCATTATTAATTTCAAAGTTTCTCTCCACCCTTTTTGCAACTCATGCACCAAGTTAGTCTTGGAAGAGAGGAATGAAGAAATAATGTGTTCAGACCAGAGATGCATTTTTGTTAAAGAAGGCAATACTAGGAATGTGTTTGTCTTTTAACCTGCCAATGGATCTGGTAAGTTTAAGGTAAAGCTAAAGAAAGAACTTTGTCTGCCGGTGTGCTGCATTTACTAGCCAACAAGGAAACTACTTACATGTAGGCATTGTAAGATTGAAAAGACGGTGAGTACCACAAACTCTTTAACACACAGTTTGGAAAGTGTCCCTGTAGCCTGGAGCTGTCAGCCTGCAGCAGGGTACCACAGCCTGTGCCTGCTTCCATATAGAGATCCATATGGCACATTGGCTTGAGCTGCGTCTCTCCACAGCCTTGTGATTCCTGCCTGCCGTCCCCTACTAGGCACCTTTAGCCCACAATTGTTACCTACATTGTCAAGGACAAGCAGCATTCCTTCTTCATGGCCCTTCCTTCCTTCCTCTCAGCCTTCACTTTAGTGACCTCTGGTTTCACGTTAGTGGCATTCCCTTACACTGGGAACCAGCTGTCAGAAAGAGCATAGATGAGGTTTTAGTGTCAGTTTTTTTGTTTTGTTTTGTTTGTAAGAACTCATACTTTTTTCACACCCAGGTTTCATTACAGGTTATTGTGCAAGAACAAGCCTCAGTGCTCTTATGTATATGGAATGATTGTGGCTTTTTCAGTTCTCTGCATTTCTTCAGAAACAGGAAAAAAAATCCATATTAGATGATGAAAGTACAGTACCAGTCTCACTTTTCTATATTTAAAGTGTAACAATACCCAGTGACTGCTGAAGGAATGAATCACTGAAATTTACATATACAGGTCAGCAGAGAACATTCTCACACAGTTGAGAGCATCCCTGCAGTCAACATTTTGCTACTCTTATTGCAGCCACCTCTTGACAAATCCAACCCATTTTTTGATCCTTTA